CCTTGAATATCCACCATTTTACATGAGTAAGTAGGAAAAATCTGCAGGAGAAATTTCTAGAAGTGAGTGAAAGGGTGAGTGTGTAATTTATATATTACTGAACGGCCCTTTGTGGGGATTATAGCAATTTTATATTCCCATCAGCAATGCTGAGAGTGCCCTTTTCTCCCATCACCTCAGAATGTATAAAACTTCTGAATTTTTGTCAGTCTGATAGGTTAAAAAATGGGATGTCGACATGATTTTTAAATTTGCATTTTTCTTATTATGACTAAGGTTGAGAATCTTTCCAGATGTTTAAGGGATAGCCGCATTTCCTATTTTGTGGACTGTTCATTTTCCTATGTCCATTTTTTCTTTTTTTTTGTTAACACAAGCTTAAGATAAATTTAATTGAAAATGTTCATTATAGACATTAACAATGCTTACCATCCTTTAAATACTATATACGTTATTAATATATAGTGTATATTTCAAATTAACTCCATTCTTAGGTTTGATTTAAGAAACACAATTGTAACAGATTTTATACAAAAAAATACTTCCCGAAAAAAGTAGACAAACTGTATGAAACAGTACAAGCATAATGTGCATAGCAAGATAGCTTGAAGCATTCTGTGTGTGGCTTTCTTTAAAATAAATTAGGGGAATGGGCCCATTTGGGACCTACTGTTACAGCTGACATATGTAAATGGTTTCACATCTTTTTTAGGTGCTTGCTAACGACAGTGTTCAATCCCTGCAAAATGAATTTACCTCCGATCTATTACTAGATTTCTAGAGGCAATTCATGATACGAGTTGCAGATATGGACTTCCCTGTTTATCATTTATCTTTTGACCTTATATAGTTTTATTTATTTTGCCATAAAGAAGGGCTTATGTTTGTTTGTTTTTTTGGGGGGGCGGGTGGGGTCTCACTGAGACACCCAGGCTGGAGTGCAATGGCATGGTCTTGGCTCACTGTAACTTCCTCCTCTTGGATTCAAGCAATTCTCGTGCCTCAGCCTCCCAAGTAGTTGGGACTACAAGCACGTGCCACCATGCCTGGCTAATTTTTGTATTCTTAGTAGAGATGGAGTTTCATCACATTGGCCAGGCTGGTCTCAAACTCCTGACTTCTAGTGATTCACCCGCTTCGGCATCCCAAAGTGGTGTTTGTTTTTAATAAAGCCCAAATGTAACAATCTTTTCTTTCCTTGGGCTTCTAGATTTTCAGTCTTAATTAGAAAGACCTTAGGGGAGACATTATTATTTCCATTTTACAGAGTGGGAAACTGAGGCTGGGAAAGATGAAAAGACCTACCATATATCACACACCCTGTAAGCAGCAACCTAGAAATCAGTAGTTAGATCTCAGTGTACCAAAATCATTTAAATCTGAGGGCTCGGGGAGCTGGATGTTGTTCACCCTTTCAAATACACCCTTTCAAATACATAAGTTCTTTATGATTGCATGCAGTAAAACTCTTCAAAATAAACACCTTTTTTTGGCATTTCAATGGAAATGGGGCTTTACGGATAACAAAGGTCATGCCACACGTGGATTCGTGGACTCGAATTGGGCCCCAGCTCCTCCGTGACACAATTGCTTAAAGCGTCCCCACCTCTCAACTCCTGATGACATTTTCCACCTTTCTCAGGTGCCTCTGGTGGCCCGAGGATTGCTAATAAGACTTTTTGTAAAGGGTTTTACATCTCTGGAGAGAAAAATCTTTAAAAAAATCCTTACCTCTGGTCTGGCCTAAATCGAGTGTCAGTAGGTGGTAATAAAGACTTTGACGACGGATCCATTTCATTTAATTCCAGCGCAAACTGTGTGAAGCCATAGTATTGCTCATAGCCTTTCGGCATGGGATCTAAGAAGAAAATAAATCATTCAGCCCTAACTTGCATGTCGCTTATGTTACATTTTAATTCCTTCACCTTTTTCATCTCAGCCTCGCTACAATTTTTCTCTCTCACTCCCTTCCATTTCTGTTAAAATACTCTGACTAATGAACAGGCGCTGAACATTTCCCTACACATTTTCTTTTCTATAATTTTTCTTCTGTCTACAGGGATGTAGCCTCCTAAGTGTGTTCAGAAAGCAAATTTATACAATGCTGTGAAGTTTCTGTAGTGCTTAAGCTATGAAAATAATTTGATTTTAAAATAAATATGCTAGGCTGGGCGCAGTGGCTCACGCCTGTAATCACAGCAGTTTGGGAGGCCAAGGCAGGCTGATCACCTGAGGTCAGGAGTTTGAGACCAGCCTGGCCAACATGGCAAAACACTGTCTCTACTAAAAATACAAAACTCAGCCAGGCATGGTGGCGGGTGCCTGCAATTCCAGCTACTTGGGAGGCTGAGGCAGGAGAATCACTTGAACCTGGGAGGCAGAGGCTGCAGTGAGCCAAGATTGCACCATTGCATTCCAGCCTGGGTGACAAGAGAGAAACTCTGTCTCAAAAATAAAATAAAAATAATAAATAAACATACTAATATAAGCTCTGGGTCCATTTTTCCTGATTCTCACTCTAGAGAATCTGTTTTTAAGTGATGTCAAATTATCCTGAAACTCTGTTTAGTACCTACAACAGTGCTGAACACATAGCAAGTGGTTAATAAATGTTATTCTTTTCTTCCATTCCTGCCCTTTTTACCAATTCTTGCCTCCCCCTAGTCTTACATCTTTAAACCATTAGGTGCATTGCCCTAACTGGAATTCCAGCTTTTCAAGCTAAACATACTCAAATTTATATATTGAATAAATCCAATGTAGACTACTAAGATCTACTTACAGTCTAAGCTCTTCACACATAACAAGAGAAATACTTTCCAAGAACTCTTCTGCAGACCTTTTCTTTTAAATTAAAGGGTCTCAGTCCACCCCGGTTGGAGTACAGCGACAGGATCTCGGCTCACTGCAACCTCTACTTCCAGGGTTTCAGTGATTCTCATGCCTCACCCTCCTGAGTAGCTGGGACTACAGTAGATGCACACCACCATGCCTGGCTAATCTTCGTATTTTTAGTAGAGATGAGATTTCGCCATGTTGTCCAGAGTGGTGTCGAACCCCTGGCCTTAAGCAATCTGCCGCCTTGGCTTCCCACAGCGCTGGGATTATAGCCGTGAGCCACCATGCCCAACCGGGACCAATTTTTTGAATCTTCAGAAGTCCTCCTTGTAACTAGTCTAATTCTCTGTGTATCCCTAAGCATAAAAATAGTAGCAAAGTTTCCTGTGGTGTCTTGGTCAGCAATCCAGTAACCAGGGAGTAAAGGTGCTTTTTCTTAAAGATGGGCCAGAGATGCTCATTGCCATTAGAGAGACATAAAGTCAAGGAATAATGACAGTAACAAAAATTTAAACCGTGTCGCTTTATCAAGGTGGTACTTTAACATTGAGACAGGATGGTAGTTCTCATCTGTGACGCATACTTTAAGCAAAGGAGACAGATTGTGCCATTTGCAGAATCTCATGTGTGCCTCTGAAGCTAGGAAGGCTTCCACTGGTGCCAGTTCATTCTAACTTCATGGCAACCTCTGCAACGGTGGGAGATGTGGCAGCTACCCATCGAAAGAGCCATTGCTGGCTGCCTACTTGACCATCATTTCTCTTTCCTGCTTGCTAACAGGATACTGATTCTGTTCAAATGGCATTGTTCCCTTACTGGCGATTACTCCAAGACATCTAAATCTCTCTTGCCTACCCTGTTGCCCATGACTGGTTCATGGATGGGTCTGAACCCACTGCAGGCTGACATGATGTCAAGTCCTATTTGCTGGGGGATCCTAGGAAATGTTCCTGAGAAAAGAGAGGCACAAGAGAGAAAAGCTCTTTTGTCCTCTCAATACGTGCTTGGTACGCTGTCATGCAGGGGTATGACGTTGAATGGTAACAACAAGGGGAAACAGCACGGCACACTGGGAGTGGCAGAATGTATCCTCACTGATCCGTGTGCCCTTGACACAGGTAAGTTGCCTATGTAACAACCCTGGGGCCACCCACCGCCTCACTTACTGTTACGTAATAGCACATAGCCTAACAGTTGAAGCCACCAGTCAAATGGTTTTCTGTTTGCTTTTTACCAACCTAAAGCATCCTAACAAACAATGGTTTACAATATGGCTGTGACTTGGAAACAACATAATTTTTGGACTGAGAAGAGGGAGTAAGATGTTAAAGTGTGGTGGGGACATGCTGATGAAAGCTGGGGTTCCCTAGCTCTTCTGCCCGTATCTGCTCCAAGAGCTCAGCACCCTCTGGAATCACAGGAGTGATGAGGATGGCTTCTGGGGTTAGGTCAGCCTGGGGATAGCTAACTTTTGTAGGTGTCCTGGGTCACTGCTTTTCCAGGAACACTTTCCTCTTTGTCCTTGCTGCAGAATGACTTCTTGCATCTCACTGATATTCTTTCATAGTACCCAGTATAGTTACGCATGCGGACTACAAGATTCCCTCGGAGAATGCCCACGGATTAGCAATGCTTGTTCTGGGGTTAAGAACCCGGGACCCAGCAGCCCAACAGAGGTGTTGCTATAAGTAAGCATGACAAGTAGGTAAAGACTGGATGAAGGAAGAGGGCCAACACCTCTAACCGAGTTCAAAGCAGAAGAGGCTGGAGATGCTGAACAGACACCGCTCCTGTCCTCTGTGGCTTCTTTTGCCATGCCCACTCACGCACCCACTCGCAGCCTGGGGTCCACAAACCCAGACACTCACTTGCTCTCCACACACAAGCAGAAGAGGAGGAGCCACCGCAGTAGATGCTTTCATGCCATTTCCCAAACAGCCGATGAACTGCGTTTCCACTCCTGTCAAACACTGTGCCTTCAATCTCATGGGCATTAGTGCTCCAGTATTTTGCCTAGGATTCAAATGAGAGTTGTCGGCTTAGTCCTTTAGCATCAGCTTATTACAGATATTAAGGAAAGAAAAAGGGAAAAGCTAGAGAAAGAACTGTAAGAGTGGTTCCATACTACACATTAGTTTGCTAGCTCTGGGTTCTGTTATACTAACCGACAAATTAAAAATTTATATATTTATCATGTACAACATAGTGTCTTGAAACATGTATACATTGCTGAATGGCTAAATCAAGCTGATTAACATATGTATTACCTTACATACTTACTTATGATAACACTTAACTCTCTCAGTGGCCGGGTACGGTGGCTCACGCCTGTAATCCCAGCACCTTGGAGGCCGAGGCGGGTGGATCACCTGAGGTCGGAGTTTGAGACCAGCCTGACCAACATGGAGAAACTCCATCTCTACTAAAAATACAAAATTAGCTGGTTGTGGTGGCACATGCCTGTAATCCCAGCTACTCGGGAGGCTGAGGCAGGAGAATCGTTTGAACCCAGGAGGTGGAGGTTGTGGTGAGCCGAGATCACGCCATTGCACTCCAGCCTGGGCAACAAGAGTGAAGCTCCGTCTCAAAAAACAAAACAAAACAAAACAAAAACAAAAACAAAAACAAAAACTCTCTCAGCAATTTTCAAGTATACAACACATTAACTATAGTCATCATGTTGTACAACAGATTTCTTGAACTAATTCTTCCCGTCTGAAATTTTGGATCCTTTGGCCAACATTTCTCAATCCTCCCCTCTGCCCCTGGCAAACCCATGTCAACCATCATTCTACCCTCTGCTTCTATGAGACCGACTCTTTTAGATTCCAAATATAAGTAAGATTATGCGGCATCTGTCTGTGTCTGGCTTATTTCACTTATCCTCCAGGTTCATCTATGTTGTCACAAATGACAGGGTTTCCTTCTTTTTAAAGGCTGAACAGTATTCCACTGTTATATGTTATATGTACCATATTTTCTTTCTCCATTCATCCATTGTTGGACACTTAGGCTGTTTCCCTATCTTGGCCATTATGAATATTGCTGCAATGAACATGGAGATGCAGATATCTCTTTCACATACTGATTTCATTTCCTATGGATATACACCCAGTAGTGGGATTGCTAGATCATACGGTAATTCCATTTCTAATTTTTTTAGGAACTTCCATTCTGTTTTCCATAATAGCTGTGCTAATTTACATTTCCATGAATGGTGTGGGTTTCCTCTTCTCCATATCCTCCTGAACATGTTGTTTTTCATCTTTTTGATAATAGCCATTCTAACAGATATGAGGTGATATCTCACTGTGGTTTTAATTTGCATTTCCCTGACAATTACTGATATTCATCATTTTTTCCTCATATATCTATTGGCCACTTATATGTCTTCTTTTGAGAAACGTCTCTTCAGGGCCTTTGTCCATTTTTAAATCAGATTGTTTTCTTGCTGTTGAGCTCTCTATACATTTTTTATATCAACTTCTTAGGGGTTGTATAGTTTACAAATATTTTCTCCTGTTCTATAGGTTGTTTCTTTACTGTATTGATTGTTTCCTTTGCTGTTTAGTTTGATATAATCCCATTTGTCTATGTTTGCTTTTGTTGTGCTTTTGGGGTCATATCCAAAAATAATAACTGCCCTGACCAACGTCATGAAGCTTTTCTCTTTTTGTTTTTGTTTTAGTAGTTCTGCAGTTTCAGGTCTTGCTGCAAGTCTTTAGTCTTTTTCAGTTGATTTTTGTATACAGTATAAAGTTCTAATTTCATTCTTTAGCATGTGGATATTCAGGTTTTCCAGCACCATTTATTGAAGAGACTGTCCTTTCCCCATTGTGAGTTCCTGGCACCTTTGTCAAAAACCAATTAATTATAAATGCAAGGATTTATTTCTGAGTTCTCTATTTGTTCCATTGGTCTATGTATTTGTTTTTATGCTTGGACTTTGGCTTTAAAAAACTCATACCTTTAGTTATTTAATAAAAATCAATGGTTAACTATCTGCAGTTTGTAACTCAACTTGTATTTGTGTAAGACACATTTGTATTACTACCTTTGCTACATACAATGTAAAAGAAGGCTCAGTTCTCGGCTGGGTCCAGTGCCTCATGCCTGTAATCCCAGCAGTTTGGGAGGCCGAAGTGGGTGGATCACTTGAGGGCAGGAGTTTGAGACCAGCCTATCCAACATGGTGAAACCCTATCTCTACTAAAAATACAAAATTAAGCCGGCTGTGGTAGTGGGTGCCTATAATCTCAGCTACTTGGGAGGCTGAGGCACGAGAATCACTTGAACCCGGGAGGTGGAGGTTGCTGTGAGCTCAGACTGCACCACTGCACTTCAGACTGGGTAAGAGTAAGACTCCATATCAAAACAAAACAAAAAAAGAACAAAACCAAGAAAAGAAAAGGTTCAGTTTCTATACATCAAGCGAGTAGCGTGGGTATTCTCACTATGTATTGGTCCTGGTCTGCGAGGCAACCTTGCACTCTATTCTGCTCAGTTCAGCTCAGCTCAGGCCAGCCCAGTCCAGAGGATTTTATACAGTTCCACTTGCAGCCAGCAGAGGGAGCTCTAGCGCCCTAGAGTTGATTTTTTTTTTTTCCAAATTACCTGGCTGCCCTAAAAGTTTCTATGAAAGAACGGCAAAGGCATTTCTCCATAAATCAAAAAACCCTAGTACTATTTTCAGCTTAAACAGAATCCGTATTTGGAAACCAATAATGTTGAATGGCATTTTCAGGTCAGATTCTGGTCGTTCAGCTTCTGCATTTCAAGGCTGTGGTAAAAATGGTGGGGCATGGAAGTGCCTCAGAGTTGAATTAAAAATTTAAAGTTAAGTTCTCCAGCCATGTAATAATGAGGGAAAAGCAAAAAGATCTTAAGTTTTTTTATTTATTTTTTGATGATACAGGGTCTTACTATGTTCCCCAGGATAGAGTGCAGTGGTGAAAACATAGCTCACTGCAGTCTCAAATTTCTGAGCTCAAGTGCTCCTTCTGCCTCAGCCTCTCCAGCAGCTGGGACTACAGGTGCATGCCACCATGTCTGGTTAATTTTTAAATTTCTTTATAGAGATAGGGTCTTGTCATGTTGCCCAGGCTGGTCTCAAATTTCAGGCCTCAAGTGAGCCTCCTGCTTCAGCCTCCCAAAGTGCTGGGATTACAGGTGTGAGCCATGTCACCCGGGCTCTTAATTTTATTATGAATCAGGTGTCAGATTTTCCCTTAGAGATATCTGCCAACAAATCCAGTGCTGAGAATTTGCTGGAAGCCACCAAGGGACACTGTCACCTTCCACAGGGGAGTGTGGCATCCGCTTGCAGCATCTCTTTCAACACCAGACATGCCCAGTGTTCATCTCTCATGACTATACAACCCATTTTCTGAATGTAAGTGAATGAGAACCAGGTAGGTGGTAGATACGGGAGTGGAGCATGTGTCCTTGGAGAAAACGTTGAGAGCAATGTGGCTTTCACCTGGGACACAGGTAATATATCCCTGCTTCAGGCTGCCTTTTGTTTCTGTTTGCAGAGAGCTCAGACAAAGCTTTCAAGGTAGGGTCATTTTTATTTTGTCCCACATGTAAGGTCATTATGGGCTTTATGTCAGTCTATAAACCAGTTTGAGGTTATAAAAAAGACCCCAATCCACCTCTTCCTAAGTATTCCCTATAGGTTACAGGTGGTGCAGAGAGGCATTGCATGAAGTTCCACAATAAAACCTCAACTCTGCTTATTATTTCCATCTTTGTTAAATGCAAATATTCCTTGAGGAGGATCATGTTTTAAAGCTATTTTAACTACATACAATTTTTAAGAGCATGAAGGAATCTAGGAGAGAGAGAAAGCAGCGACGGCTGCCCAGCAAGGCTGTTAAAATGATAAAGAGACTATTCCATACTTTTTGCCTCTGGTCAATCTTTCCATTTCTTCTCTGAATGTTTATGGGTCTCTCATGTGTGCCAGATACCACTTCAGGTATCAGGGCTACAGAAGTGAGCAAGATAGACTAGGTTTTGCTCTTCTGGAGTCAAGGATGAGGAGGAGGGTATGGAGAGCAGAAAATAAACACACACAGCAACGATGAGCAGGCTGACCTCAGATGGTGATAAGCACTCTGAAGAAAATGGGACAGGATAGGGAGCGAATGACAGGATGGGGCTAGTGATGGAAAGATCTGGGGACAGCTCCCCAAGCAGAAGGAAATGAAGAAAGAGAAAGAAGGCCGGTGTGGCCAGAGGACAGTGGGGAAAAAGAGGGAGGAAAAAGAGAAGTTCAGGTTGGAGGGGAACGAGGTGGTGTATGTGTGTATCTGCAAGTGTGCAAGTATGTGTGTGAAAGGGTGGGGATGGGGAGTGTAGCCTGTGCAGGGCCTGGCGGGTCACCATAAGGATGCAGGTTTCAACTCTGAGAAAGATGGAAGCTGCTGGGGGATTTTGCTCAAAGGAATGATACAGCATGAGATTTTTTTTAAAAAAAAAAGTCTGTGGTAAACCATACCTAATGTAACATTGACCATTTTAACCATTTCTAAGGGTACAATTCAGTGGCATTAAATACATTCACAATGCTGTGCAACCATCACCACTATCTATTTCTAGAACTTTTTCATCTTCCCAAACTGAAGTTCTATACCCATTCAACACTAATTCCCCCTTCCTCCCTCCTGCAGCCCCGGGTGACCACCATTCTGCTTTCTTTCTCTGTGAACTGGATTCCTCTGGGGATCTTGCAGAAGTGGAATCATGTAATATTCGTCCTTTTGGGGCTTCAAGGTGCATCTGTACTGCAGCATAGTGATTTATGTTTTAAAAGGGTCTCTCTGGCTACTGTACTGAGGACAGACCCTAGTGGCCCCCAGGAGGGGCCACTGCCCTGGTCTAGGTGACAGAGGGGCAGCTGGGACCAAGGAGTTCCAGCATTGCTTGCCTGCTGGCATAAAGGTGAAGGTGAAAAATCTCTCAAATGCCCTGTGCTCTGGGGCCCTGGCTCTGCCACAGCCTTTCCAGGGACAGAGCTCAGAGAGTCACTGGAGTTACCTTTATAAAATTCACTTTGCAGTAGCAGGAATCATCATTCAGATTCTTGATGACAATCTCTCCATAGTGCTCAATCCACCTCTGCCCGCTTAAGATGTTATGGATGCAAGAGGTCACTTTGTTCCACTCAAAATGATCCCCAAAACTAAAAAGAAGGAAAAAGTAGAAGTACCAATTTCCAGAAGAGCCAGCAGCAAATGCAAACAAACTCTGCTCTTTTATAAAATAAGTCATGTCATGCATTACTCATCCCTTTATTCACAGAAGCAACACTGGCTGAGTGTCCACGCCACGCTGGATGTTCTAGGAGCCTCCACTCTCCAAGGAGGCGTGCATGCCACAGAGAATGACAGCATTCAGACTCTGCACTCTGGAAGCTACCAGAGGCTTCACTAGAAGCTGGTGGTCTCTTGGAACAGCCCACTCCCTCCTTTGACAGAGGAGGCAGTTCAGAGCCAGAGGGGCTTGTCTAATGTTGCTGAACTAGGAAAGGGAGGCTTGAGGAAGGGATGAAGATTTTATACAATTTGCTGAACATATATTGCCTGCATTCTTTATGATGAGAAAGTATTCGGATATTACTTATGGAATTCAATAATTATGAGGAAAATGGTATTAATAATATGACCAGATACTTACAAAACATATGCAGTGTGCTAAGTACTATTTTAGGTGTTTTATGTATATTATTGGTTTAATCTTCACAACAGCCCTAGGAAGTAGGTGGTTTATTATTCTCTCTTTCTAGACGGGGAAACTGGTGACGAGAAAGGTGAAGTAAACTGTCCAGCGATTTGCTGTCAGTAAGTACCAGAGTGAGCAGGTGAATCTCAGCAGTCCAGTTCCAGAGTCCCTGCTCAGAAGCATCTTGCTTAATAAATAAGTATCAATCACCCCTATCAGATCAAGGCCATACCTTTCTTAAAAGGGATTTTGACAGCAAAGCAGCACAGTAAAGGAAAAACACTTTTTTTTTTTTTTTTTTAATTTGAGACAGGGTGTCACCCTGGCTGGAGTGCAGTGGCATGATCACAGCTCACTGTAGCCTCAACCTCCCCAGGCTCAAGGGATCCTCCCACCTCAGCTTCCTGAGTAGATGGGACTACAGGTGCGTGCCACCAGTATGCCTGGCTAATTTTTGTATTTTTTCTAGAGACAGGGTCTTGTCATGTTACCCATACTGGTCTCAAACTCCTGGACTTAAGCAATCCGCCCACCTTGGCCTCCCAAAGTGCGGGGATTACAGATGTGAGCCACCACGCCCAGCCAAAACCACCATTCTTAATCTTGTTAGGAAGTGGAAATGAGTTTTTAATAAGCATCTATTCGGGGAACTTTGGTCTCCAGGAGGCATTTCCATTTGAGGGAGAAACATTTTTTAAAAGTGAGCTTGCCAAAAGGAGGAACATTTAAACCTTCTGTCAGATAGATTACAAGAAAAAACACACACTCAATGCAACTGGCGGGGGGGTGGGCATCCGGTTCCCAAAGCAAAATCTCGGCCCTAAATTCCATAAAGTTCCTTAACCACAGAAGAAGAACTTACGCTGGCAGAGTCACATGGGTTGTCCCAATTGGAACGATTTCCATGGATTTGCCCCAGAATTTGTTTTTCCATCTCACATCTGAAATGAAATACCAAATATTACGTTTTTAGCAGGAGAGTTAGGTAGATGAAATAGTTCCTAGGCTAGATAAATGATCAATCCCTATATAGTACAACCTCTTCACAACCAAGTCAATTATTATATAGGATAACTTTTCATAAAATATAAGTACCAACCCCATGGGCCCCTGGCGCAGACTCAGGGAAACTGAAATGATAAGATAACGTCCTTTCCATGAATGCGTTAACAGCATGACAGGCAGACAGAAGTGAAAACAAGTAGTTAGCACACAGAGAGGCCCAGGTTATAACTAAATGTATTATAAGGTAAAATGAAACCTGAGAAGAAGGAGTGACGAACATGCTTGGAGAAAGCATCAGAAGAGGCTTGTCAGAAAGGGCCATCTAAATGGGGCTTTGAGGAAAAAGCAGGAGTTCACTGGGCAGACAAAAAGCAATTTAAGGCTAAATAGCTTGTCCAAGGGGACAGAAGTATAGGAAAACATAGTCACGTAGTATGGTTCTATCCTACAGGTCTCAGACTGTCTTATCTAGAGAAGAGTAGAAAGGTTGAGAACAAAACCAGGTGCAGTGGCTCATGCCTGTAATCCCAGCACTTTGGGAGGCAGAGGTGGGTGGATCACTTGAGGTCAGGAGTTCGAGACCAGCAAGGCCAACATGGCGAAACCCCTTCTCTACTAAAAATACAAAAATTAGTTGGGCATTGTGGTGGGTGCCTACAGTCCCAGCTGCTAGGGAGGCTGAGGCAGGAACCCAGGGTGGAGGTTGCAGTGAGCCAAGACTGTGCCATTGTACTCTAGCCTGGGTGACGGAGTGAGATTCTGTCTCAAAAACAAACAAACAAACAAAGAAAAAAAAACTGAAAACAAAAAACAATGGGCTCTCCAAGCCTGGCTAAGAGTCTGGTTTCTGTGCAATGAGTGGAAACAATCAGGCCACTGATGGGATTAGACATGGACCTTGCAAAGGCAATTGGAAGCCATACGGAGAATGGAACAGGAGTAGGAGAGAGGAGAAGCAAGGTGACAAGTTAAGAGGCTACTGCAGTTGCCCAGGGGATAACAAATGGGGATGAAGGGAACCAAGACAACAGACATGGGGAAGCGAGTGAGCCCAGAAATGCTAAAGAAGAAGAAATAGGCACAACTAGGTGACAAATTAGATACAGACTGAAAAAGAATTTATGAACAATGTCAGATTTCTCTAACTTGCATGAATGATGGTAACAACAGAGAAGCCAGGGAATAGAAAAAGAACAGCAAGAGGATCCCATCTGGCTGCTGCACTGAGGATAGACAGACTATAGGGTGGGAGCAGAGGGGACAGTGGGGAGCCCTGGCTGGGGTCCAGATGAGAGAGGTGGAGGTGGGGCTGGGACCTGCGAGCACAGTGGGCCTGTGCTCGATATTGTAAAATCGTATTTATATAAAATGCCCCAAACAGGCACATTTATAGGCTGGGGAATGTTGAGAGAAAAGGGGCAGGGTAATATTTGCTAAAGAGGATTATTTCTGGAGTGATGAGAATGTTCTAAAATTAACTGTGCTGATAAGTGCACAGTTTATAAAATTCATAATTCTGTGAATAAAAACCATTGAATTGTACACTTTACACGGGTGAATGATATGGTATATAAGTTGTATGTTCATAAAATTGTTACCAAGAGAAAAAAAAAAGATAGCTGACTGTTTAAAGCAAGAGTAGTAACAATGTACTACATGATTTATGGTATGCAGAAGTAAGATGTACGTCAAAAATGGTAGAGAGGTTGGGAGGGGAAAATGGAAGTATACTTCTGTAAATCTCAGTATATGTGAAACTGGCATAATATTATTTGATGATATTAAAAATATATAACATAAATCCTAAAGTAACAACTTTAACAAGAAACAAAACGGGTAAGTATAGCTAATAAGCTAACAGGGGAGATGAAAGAGAACGATAGAAATTATTCAATCCAAAAGGCAGAGAAAGAGGAAAAGGAGAACAAAGAACAGATGTGACAAACAGAAAAGAAACATCATGAGGGCAGATTTAAGCCCAGCTACATCTACAATCACAACAAACGGAAACAACGTTTACACAATCCTACATAAAAGGCAGAAAATGTCAGGCTGGTTACAAACAAGAGTCTGGGAACCAGCCCTGAAATAGTGGATTGCTCAGGAAAAGGCCTGATGGGGAAGGATGGCCTAGGAGAAGATGCTCGGAAAGGGAAGGATGTAATGTAGGAAGCACACAGAACTACTTTGAGAAGACCCCTCTCATTTTAAAAAAAAAAAACCAACTTTTGGCTGGGCGAGGTGGCTCACGCCTATAAATCTCAGCACTTTGGGAGGCCAAGGCAGACAGATCACAAGGTCAAGAGATCAAGACATCCTGGCCAACATGGTGAAACCCCATCTCTACTAAAAATACAAAAATTAGCTGGGCATAGTGGCTCATGCCTGTATCCCCGCTACCTTGGGAGCTTGAGCAGGAGAAATGATTAACATGGAGACAGAGGTTGCCAGTGAGCCAGATCGCGCCATTGCACTCCAGCCTGGCAACAGACTGAGATTCCATCTCAAAAAAAAAAAAAAAAAATCCAACTTGAAACAACAAAGAAGAGTGCTTAGCATGAGTGAGATTTATCAATAGGTAGGCCTAGGGAACCTATGAGCAATATTTCCAGAGGTTTTGGCGAGAGAGCAGTTTCAATTTTAAACTTTAATAGAAGGTGAAGAAGAACACCATGGTACTGTCACTTTAAGCTGGAAATACTGGATTGCCTCCCAGGGACGAGAAACTGAGTGCTGGGCGAAGGGGGGGTTACATATACGCTTCCTGTACTTTTTAAAGTTAATAGACTGCA